TTCGTTCGTTCGTTCGTTCGTTCGTTCGTTCGTTCATTCATTCATTCAATCATTCAATCATTCATTCTGTATTCTGTTTATTTGCATTTTTACCCGATATAGTAATTATTTATAAATATTTAATGTATGGCGAAGTGACCTCTAGAAACCACCAGGCTTTTAGTTGAGGCCACCTCGTTCGTAACCATACGGTTACATAGCTAGTGCTACAGTGTGCGGCTTTGCCAGTTCACTTCTCCTCAAGCTGGCGGGCAGTACATATCATGTCCACTGTTCCTCGACCTGCGCGAGAGCCGCACTGACTCTCAGGGAGGAGGCCCTGCTCCAGATTGTGTAGGAAGCGGTTCAGCAGCATGGGAGCCAAGACCTTACCGGCAATGGACAGGAGAGAGATTCCGCGGTGGTTGTCGGAAGACTGACGGTTCCCTTTGCGTTTGTAGATGTGGACAATTGTGGCATCCCTGAAGTCCTGAGGGGTGCTCTTTTTCCCACACGGACTGGAAGAGACTGGTGAGCCGGTCACGAAAGGATAGGTCACTTGCTTTGTACATTTCGGCAGGGATGGCGTCCGATACTGGGGCTTTCCTAGTGGACATTTGCCTGATAGCTTTCTCGATCTCTTCAGCTGCAGGGTGAGTGTTTATTTCAAGGTTGACAGGCATCTGTGGGAGGCGAGCTATTGCAGCGTCATTGATTGTTGAGGGACGGTTGAGAACAGTGTCGAAGTGCTCTGCCCATCTTTCCAGAATCTGCTCCTTCTCGGTGAGCAGGATTGTCCTTTCGGATTCAAGAACGGGAGACCTGGAGCCTGGGGCCCATAGACAGCGCTCAGAGCATCGTAGAACCTTTTGCTGCCATTCCTATCTGCATAGCCCTAGATCTCGTATGCCTTAGCGCTGAATCAAGCCTCTTGCATGTTGCGGAGCTTGGTCTGAAAGATGCTACAGATGTTTGTGAATGCGGCCTTTTTTGAAGGGCAGAACGGGTCACTCTGGTGAGCTAGGAGTCGGCGTTTTTCTTCCAGCAATTCCTGGATCTCGACATCATTTTCGTCGAACGAGTCCTAGTTTCCTCTTTCTGGTGGCAGGAACAGAACCTCGAGGGTGGCAGAGTGAACCATGTCCCTGAAGGATGCCCAGACCTCTTTGATGTTTTCATGGTTATTGACGGCGTCAGAACATTTGTTGACAAAGGCTGATTGGAACTCTTGGGCAGTAGCTGGGTTCTTCAGTTTGGTAACTTTGAGTCTCTTGATGACATTCTGCCTTTAGGCATTCTCTTTGGCTGGATGTGGAGTTGAGTTTAGAGATAATGTAGCGGTGGTCTGTCCAACAGTCGGCACCACACATGGCCTTGGTCAGCTGCACGTCCAGCCTGTCTCTTGGCTGAGATAATCGATGAGATGCCAGTGCTTTGAGCAGGGGTGCATAATCTCGCCAAAGTTTGCCGTTTAACCGCAACCAAAGTCAACACGCACTAGACTATACAGAAAATCATCCACGAGGTCTTGTTGAAATCGCCAAGGAGAATAAACTTTTCTGGCAGTGGAACAGCCAACATGTGGGCTTCGAGTTCTTCGTAAAACTTGTCCTTGGTCTCCTCGGGGTTGGTCATTGTGGGGGTGTAGGCGCTAATCAGTGTAGCGGCCTTGCCGTTCACGAGCAGAAGCTGCATTTTCATCAGGCGGTCATTACGATCCTCGGAGATGCTTGCAAGCTTCTTGACAACGAGGTATTTGATGGCAGAGCCAACACTCACCTCGCGTCGCTCTCAACGTTACGTCCACTCCAAAAGAAAGTGTAG